TATATATAATCTTATTTTTCCTGTTTTATAGGCAGTGTATCACAACGTGAAACCAGCAGCTTTGCAACAGCAGTTAGAGAACATTCATCTTAGACAAGATAAAGCAGAAACATTTATCAATGTTTGGTCTACAATGGGTCAAGAAGCAGTTGAAAAGTTCAGGCAGAGAATTCTGGCTCCCAACAAGGTATAGAATATACTACCCCAGGGGTATTTTTTGATGATTTATTGCATAAATTTTTATATCTGAAGAATTTTTAAGGTGATGATACTTTGGTGAGAAGGAGGGTCGGTCAGGCAAAAGAAAGTATATATGCAATATGTAGACTATTGGGTTTTTACCTTTGGCTGTGTTGAAAAGTCCTCCTGTGAACATTTGAGTATTTGTTTGAATACTTCTTTTGAATTCATTGGTTATATACTTAGGAGTGGAATTGCTGTGTCATATGGTAATTCTCTGTTCACCTTTTGAGGAACAACTAATTCATTTTTTATAGCAGCTGAATCATTTTACATTCCCACCAGCAACGGATGAGGGTTCCAATTTCTCCACATCTTTGCTACCACTTGTTATTTTGTGTTTTGATTATACCCATCCTATTGGGGGTGATGTGATAACTTATTGTGGATTTGACTTGCATTTCCCTAACAGCTAATGATGTTGAGTGTCTTTTCATGTACTTGTTGGCCATTAGTGTGCCTTCCTTGGACAATTGTCTGTTCAAATCCTTTGCCCATTTTTATATTGGGTTATTTATCTTTTTATTATGAGTTATAAGAGTTCTTTGTATATTCTGAATACTAGACTCTTAACAGATATATGATTTGCAAACATTTTCTCCCATTCTATGGATTGTCTTTTGACAGTTTTTTGATGGTGTCCTCTGAAACAAACAAATTTTAATTTTTTGTTTTTATTGTGGTTTGGGTAAGTGTTTATAGAGCAAATTAGTTTTCCATTCAATAATTTATGCACTTATTGTTTCTTAACATTAGTTGCA